CCCGAAATAATAACAACCAATTTACTGCCAATTTAAATTCATTCAATAACAATAAATATAGAAACTTTAAATAGATATTCATGTTGAGAATATCATTGACGTCATTCAAAAACATATTTAAAGGCGATAATGAACTATGATTATTCTTAAAATGATGGAGCGGGAAATTCATGTCGTCTATGAAGTCTACTTAAAATCTCAAGATATGCTGGTTCATTTTCCGGAGTAATGATAGAATGACGAATCATAAAATCAATTATCACTATTTTGATGCATTAGGGAAAAAAGTTAATGATTAAACAATGCATAATACAAGAAAAAAGAAAGCGTAAAATTACAGTAAGTACTTACCCAATGCACAATTAGGTTTGAATTCATCAGCAAGAATACGCTTTTTAATCTTGAAAAATGCAAGTTCATAATAATAATTAAGACCAATTCGTCATAATTCGTCATGTATAATTAAAAATGGATATATACCTCATCTAAATCCCATAAATAAAAACATTCAACTTCTCCATCAAGTGGTTTAGGCTTCACATCAATGGGAAGTTCAAGATCATATACATATCTATTTTTTAAAAAAAAAATTTATTAATATTAATATTAATCCAGTATTAGTAAAAATATTCTAATATACATACTCTACTTCAGGCTGTAGTCCGTTTTTTGTTACTATAAAATATGTGATTGCTCCAACTGGTACTGCCTTTTCTGCAATTTCTTCTGGCAGACTAGCTTCTTCCATTGCCTCTTTAACTAATGCTTCTTTGACTGTTAAATTATATGATATTCCACCTGCTACTGTATTATCTAATCGACCTGGCCATGTAGATTTTGTTGTTGAGCGTTTGGCAATCCACATTTTAAGCTTTCCCTCTGTTGTTCTAACATATGCACTCAAATGTACTCCAAATGTTAATAATCCAAATAATGATGTCCCTGATCTTTCAATAACAAATGCTAAATTAAATGGTCCATAAACTGGATACAGTTCATCCCGCCATCCTTAAAAATATTATTTTTATTAAATGTTTATTTTTATAAAGTTTTATATTTTCTAATATTTTTTTATCTCACCTTCTAATGCTGGAAAGGCTTTTTCCTCTCT